AGGCAATGGGGGGCTGCCCGCCAGGGGACTGGGCAGGGGGAGGCGGTGGGGGGCTGACGCTGGGGGGCTGGGCAGGGGGAGGCGGTGGGGGGCTGACGCTGGAGGGCTGGGCAGGGGGAAGCGGTGGGGGGCTGCCACCAAGGGGCTGAGCCGTAGTCTCTCCCCAGTTCTATCACGCCTGCGACCAGCCGGGCATCGCCGTGTTCTGCATCATGGAGTACGACGTGCTGCAGTTCTGCGACTTCCTGGGCTCCCTCATGTCCGTCTGGGTCACCGTAATCGCCATGGCACGGCTCCAGCCCCTCGCCAAGCAGGTGACGGGGGCGGCTCTGCCCCGGGACCCTGCCCTCCCGGGACTCCTGCCCTCCTCCCTGGATCTCTGCCCCTCCAGGACTCCTGCCCTCCTCCCTGGACCTCTGCCCCTCCGGGTTTCCTGCCCTCCTCCCGGGCACCCTCATGACACCCGCCACAGGCTGGCACGTTGCTCCCGGGGAGGAGCCAGCGCCTCCTACAGCCCTGGGGAGACGCAGTAGGGACCGGCCCCGGGAAGCCAGCGTCAGACGGCGCTTAGCTGAGCTGGGGGGTGGGTGAACCCCGGACACAGGGCCAGGTGGTGGGAACTGGGCCCCCGATCCCTGCTCTCCTCAGCCCCCCATTTCCCCTCGTCCCTCTGTGCCCAGCCACAGCCCTAGGACCCGGGCGCTGGCACCCTGGCCGGTGCGCTGCAGCTCGGGCTCTGCCCCGTGGCCGCTGGCCGGCCGAGCAGACCTGGTTCTGTCGTTCCAGCCCAGCCAGCCCGGGGCTGCGTGTCCGAGACCGCTCACCCTCAGTCCCACCCTGCCCCCGCCCCAGGGGGATCAATGTCGCTCGCGCCCCGCGCTAACCCTGCCTACTCTCTGCGCCAGGTGCTGTACCTTCTGGGCGCCATGCTGCTCTCCATGGCCCTGCAGCTGGACCGCCACGGGCTCTGGAACCTCCTCGGGCCCAGCCTCTTCGCCGTGGGGATCATGGCCGTCGCCTGGGTGAGGCCCATGGGGTGGAGCTGGGGGGGCACCTGGGAGCTATAGGGGCTGCTGTCCCCCCTCCCCTCCCACTGTGTCCCCCTCCTGTGAGCCTCACCTGCAGCTCCACTCTTCCAGTTGCACCCACTCAGCACCTTTCCTGGGGTGTCTCCCCCCCAGGCCCTCGGGTCCCTGCCCTGCAGCATCCCCCCCCACTTCCCACCCCCCCGTCCATCCTGTGCCCCTCTCCCCAAACTCCTCCCCCATCCCCTCAGGTCCCTGTCCTGCAGCTTCCCCCCCAATCCATCCTGTGCACCTCCCCCCATGCCCCTCCCCTCATCCCCTTAGATCCCTGCCCTGGAGCTGCCCCCCACACACACTCCTCATGCCCCCCAATTCTCATCCTGTGCCCCTCCCTCACGCCCTCGGGTCCCTGCCCTGCGGCGTCTCACCCTGTCTCTTGCCCCCCCAGACGGCGCGCAGCATCCGCCGGCGTCACTGCTACCCGCCCACGTGGCAGCGCTGGGCCTTCTACCTGTGCCCGGGGGCGCTGATCGCGGCGGGGGCCGTGCTGCTCTACGCCTGCGTGGAGACGGAGGAGAACTACTTCTACATCCACAGCATCTGGCACATGCTGATCGCGGGCAGCGTGGGCTTCCTGCTGCCGCCGCGCCCCAAGCCCGCCGGGCGCCTGGGCCCCCTGCCCCGCCACAAGGGCTGCGGCTACCAGCTCTGCGTCAACGAGCAGGAGGAGCTGGGGCTGGTGGGCCCCGCCACGGCCTCCATCAGCAGCGTCTGTGACAGCTGACAGCGCCTCGCCCGCCTGGCCTCTGCGGGCACCACGCCGGGGGCGACAGACAGAGGGGCCCCAGGGCGCCCGGCCCCCGATGGACCCACAACGAGGGGCATCCCCCACCCACAGCCATAGACACCAGCCTCCTGGGTGGGCCTGAGCCCCATGGCACCCCCGGGTGGTCTCTGCCGGCTGCTGCCCCACGGACTGGCTCAGCCCTCTGCTCCTGGTGACTGGGCTGCAAATCCCCTGCTTGGGGCAGTTATGGGGCTGCCATGGGCAACACAGGACCACAACGCCAAGCCCAGCACAGCCCGGCTCCCCTCCCGGCCGGGGGCTCTGCTGTGTAATGACAATTACATCCCCGTGGCACTTGGGCCCTGGTGTCGGTGCAGCTCCATCCGCCGGGCAGGGCAGGCAAGGACGCTGGGAGGTGCCCGCTGCTCTGGGGGGTGGGGTGGGGGCTGGAAAACTGGATCCACAAGCAGGCAGCGCGGCCCCAGGCTGTGCCAGGGCAGGAGGCAGGAGCCGTGCTGCTCCTGCGGGGAGAGCTGGCTCCCAGCTGCGGGAGGGCACGCTGGGCGTGTGCAGGGCTGGGAGCCCGAGGGCAGGGGCTGGAACAAGACCGGCAGATACAGCGACCGAGCAGCCAGATGATCCTGCCAGGCTGGGCGCCAGGTGGCACCATGCCACAGGCAACCCCTTCGCCCTGCTCCGGCAGCACGTCAGGGCCCCAGGGACCTGCTGCCACCCTGGCCTTGGGCTGCAAAAGCCTCGGGCAGGCCCCCATGGGGCCCAGTTGTGTCTGTATCAGACATGGGCAGCCCCAGGCAGGTTCCCAAAGTTCAGTGCAATGAGGGGGTCTCGTAGCCCTGCAAGGGGGCCGTGCCAGAGTGAAACTGAGGCATGGGGAGGTTGACACTTTGCTCAAGGTCACGTACGCAGGTGGATGCTGTGAAGGCCATAGGTGTGAGGCTGAGCGGCCCGACACCTGGACAATCACAGGCCCAGGCTGTGGTGCTGTCACAGACTCACAGGTCGTGCCCACTCTCGGCCCCGTGCGGTCCGGGGGGGGGTGCCCCTTTTAGTGCGACAGCCCTTCTCGGGGGTCCACTCTCTCTCATGGTCAGGCCCCTCCACCTCCTGGAGCCGCACCTCTCGGAGCCTCAGCACGTCTGTCTCTGCCATGGGCCCCCTCAGGGAGTCCCCTCGCTCTGGACCCCCCAGGCCTCCGCCCCCAAAGAGGTTGATGCCACCCTGTTCTCTAGACCGGAGTGACTCTCAGCCAGCGTAAAACAGGAGGGTTTATTGAGAATTGAACACAGCACAGGAAACTCTCAGGGCCTCAGGCCTGGCCTCCCTCAGCCCAGCACGTCCCAGTCTCTCTGCATCCAGGTGGGCTCTGCCTGCTCCCCCTCTCCAGCCCCGAGCCCCCCTGCTCCCAGCTGGACATCTGAGATCACCGGCCCCAGCCCCCACCTCTGTCCATTGTCTTCTCTCCAGGGAAACAGGGTCGTAAACCGGGGCCTCCTCTCCTCGCTTATGTCCCCTGGCTGGAACTGGCTGGGTAGGTCCCTGGGT